AACATTTATCAGAACATTTGTGTATAATAATGTGTGTTTGGCATGTAGCTTTGTGTGGATATCTATTGTAATATTACCTATGAGCTAAAATTTCTAACTTTATTTGTGTGTAGTTTTATGTTTCATAATTAGATTTAATTATTCGCAGAATCAAAGTCCCGGGGTCGATATAGAAATTGATCTCTTCAATATTATATGAGTTCTTGTGACAGGCACTTGTTGTATAAGATTTTCATAAAAATAAGGTTAAAGCCCTTATTTTTAGTAACTTATTAAGATATGTATAAATAAAATCTCTAATCGTGTTTAATTAATTATTATTATTTTTTATCATCGGAAGTATATAATGCTGGAAAGTAAACACGTAGTAACTCGCAAAACCAAAATTGTTGTTCAGAGCAGAATAACTAAGTATTATTTTTTTTTGAAATATTATTTTATGAACATCCTTTGCAACAAAAATAGTTAGATTTTTTTTTCGAAATAATAAGGTAAGGTTTTGCACGTAGTTTCCCTACGTGTTTGTTTTTTGGCGTCAATAAGGAAGGTTATCAGTGTTGCTTTACTAGATTTTCAGCCGAACATAAACTTGACTTGGAAAACAGCGATTAGATTAAAACTATTTCATCACTCAACAATGTTATTAACATTTATCTCAATATCACAATGCACTTTGTTGTTTTGTGGAAAATCGTGGAAAAATACGTGATTATTTTTAACCAGTCTCTTCGAGTCACTGACCTAATCTGTTAATCGATCTATCACGAGTGTCAGGACACGACATGTGATTGTAGCAATTATAGCAGTTAAATGTGTACGCGCAATGCAGTGGACCTTTGTTCTTATCCTTTGGTGGATATTGAAAATTGTACAATATATTTTAAAAAATCTGTGATAGTTAACTATTTCCAGGGCTTGCTTTAGCTTTTTTAGTTCACTGCACTTAAAAGTTATCTTAAATTACAAATTAGCATTGAAGTTTCAGTGAGCTTCCCTTTTTAAAGATAATATGTATGTTGTTATAATTAAATGACATTTTAGAATTGCATAGTATTCCAATATATCCGTCTGTGTATGGAGTATTGCTCACACCTTTGGGATGGCTCAGCAAAATACCAGCTTGCTGCGCTCGATTCGGTGGACCGTAGAGTCAAAAAACTTATGAGGGATTGTGAACTCGATAACTCCAAGCTCCGTAGTCTGTCTCATCGTCGAAAATTTGCTTCACTGTCGGTATTCTACAGATTGTACTTCTGAGCTGCATCGGCTCATTCCGCCAGCATCTTTTTACCACCGGGAATCCAGGCGTACAGCAAATTATCACGCCCACCTGGTTCACATTCCACATATCTGAACAAAGCGCTTTGAATCATCCATCATTTATTATGCGCACAGCCAAGGAGTGGAATAGCCTACCTGCCTCTATTTTCCCGGTATCCTATAACCCAGGAATATTAAAAGTACTAGTGAATAAGTATCTTCTGGGCAAACTCGTCCTTTCTTAGACTTTACGCTTAATATTATTACGCCTGAGGTCAAGAGTGAGCACATCTCGGATAAAAAAAAATGTTATATTAGAGAGGATTTTGAAAGTGGGATTTTATACCTAAAAATAATACATTTTGTTTTAGATATAATACGCATGGTATATTTATTCACTTAATTACATATATTGGTTATATCTTAAGTAGCTGAAACTCTTGTGTTATGGAAGTCTGAAACATCTACAGTTACAACACATCCCAAGACAATAAAGGTTACTTCATTTTCTACAGGTAATTATTGACCCGACCGGAAATCTTACCGCATAGTATATGTCATGCCATGTTGCTTATGAAACTTATCTTCTGTATGAACAACATGAAAAATATATATGTTTGTTTCAATGACTTAGCCTTCGTTGAAACAAACATATATATTTTTAATAACGTCATAATATTATTTAGTGACAACTTGACATTAATAACATTAGTTTAAACGTAAAAGTATAAGAAAAGAACATTGAAATTAATGACGCATATTAGAAAGAAAAGGCTCGTAGTTAGTGACTTAGTGACGTCACTTCACGTCACAATTAGGAGGACAAACAAATGTTTTGTTAGATATTTGGCTCACGTACGGTCGACGATCGATGGAGAGTGCGCGTGAGTGTTTACTACTCAATTACATGTAGACATAAATGATATTTGTTGTTTATGCTGATAGCAATTCTAGTTCTTATGAACGATTTGTTGCACCCTTAATTAGCTATAATTGTATAGGCTATATAGCTATAATAACAGACAAATGGCGGCTGCATGTCAAAAAGGAATGCTCTACCAGTCAAATGGTGTGAGTCTCATCGTTTAGAATTTTTTATGCAGGAAGATACTGTTTATGTCGGATGTACCTACATACTTACAGACATGCGTTATTTTATCTGCTTAATATACAAACATACATAGAATCTGTATATAATTTATCATTTAAGTATATACAAAAAGGAATACAATTCCTATTAATAAAGCATAATAATAAATTACGAATACGCCTTATTTCTAATTAATAAGCTTAAAACACCCAGTTGCACAAACGATTAAAAGCTGATTGCGCAATATAGTTTTCCATAGGGTAAATATTTTTTTAAAATTGGTCCCGTAGTTTCGGAGCCTATCAATGCAAATTCAAAAAGAAATAAACGATCAAATCTTTCCTCTTTATAATATTAGTTTAAATGAGATTAAATGATAAAGAAACTTCAAAAACGAAACCGAAGTTATTGATCTAATAGATCGAAGTCAACGGATCTTTCTTTGACTTTTTAACGATTGTACTTATTCCATCCATTATAACCAGTGGTCGGAATTAGGTAGAATTATTCATGTACTTACACTGATTTCATACAACGAAAGAATAAAGTGGATATGCCTCAAATCCCGAGATTAATTTTAAAGAGCAGAAAAAACCCGTGATTTTTTAAATAAAAAGTTATTTACTTTTACACAAATTACTTCTGCACGCACGCCGTTGCCAAACTTACATCAATGACATCGGATGTCCAAAGATGTCCAAGATTGTCCATTTGAAATCCCGGGAAGGTCCACATTAATATCAACATTTCGATGCAAGTACATAAATAACTCTACCTAATTCCGACCTCTGATTATAACTTAAGATTATTTTAATAAAGCTAAAGAGATCTTAATTTTTCTTGTATCAAAATAATGCTTTCATATCCGTAACTACTAGAATGATCACAATCATTTTCAGCCGTGTATCACAGTTGCTATCAGTACACGTAATACAATTCATCTCTATTATCAGTTGAATATGCTCCTGTTAAGCTAGCAGTCGCTACGCAGCCTCTGGACACAACGGAAGCAACGCCACTGTAAGTTAATTTTGTTTGTTTATTTATAATTTCATAAAGTTTTTAAGAAGTTTAAAATGTGCTGAATTAGAACAATCTAATTAAAAAAAAATATTTGTAATTGAAAAGCTGTCAATATGTTCATAAAGTAATTTTTTATAACTTTTTTTTTTTAATTTAAATGTGATTGATTATTTGAGAAAAACAAATTTTTGGTATGTGTTTTTGAAATAAAAAAACTTACTTTTTTTATTTCCATATTATTATTGAAACAAATGTTAAAATTATATTTTACTCTTTTATGCCATATGTCAAATATAAGTCAATTAAACAGTTGACTGTAACATATTGTAACATTAAAATGAAATAATAGGTACTTTTAATTAGTTTAGAAATTACTTGAATCAGTATGTTAAAGTTTTTTTATATAACATTATGCCGGCAAGCCATTGCTAGAGAGCGTCATGTGATACTGATTGTAGGAAACGACCGCTAGGGCGGCGCCACTGTGACGAAATATATTTATAGTAAAGTCAACAATACATTAGATAATATGATACAAAAATGATTGACTGTCGTGACCACTGACTGTTAAAGTAATTTAAGACCTTTATAACATACGATCATAAATTTGAATATTGTCTTTATTGCCGGCTATGAAACAAGACAGAATATGTTTTGATTTGATTTGATCAATTATCACAATTTGATCAACACTTTTTATATAGGTATATTAGATACCTACCTACATTAATTATATAAGCTTGAGTCACCGTAAAATTGTACGAAAGTTTATATTCTTAGTATCTGCTTTTCTGCAATATCGCCCGCGTAAATTGTAGCCTACGAGTAGTATTTCTCACGCCTTCACAACTTCTCATAAGTGAAAGATTTTTTTCTAATAGGTCCTGTAGTTACGAAGTCTACTCAATGCAAACAAACAACCAAATCTTTATCACTACTAAATCTATATTATACATAATGAAAATTCTAGAGTCATTTGGAGCAAGATAACGTACGCAAAGTTATATCTAAATGTTAGGAAAATAGAAAATTTAAAATAGTGTGAGACAGATAGGTAAACAATTAAGGATTAAAAGTATTGAAGAGGGCAGTGCCTCCTTAGTATAAAATATGTTTCATTTAAAAACTAGTTATGTGGACACTTCCCGCTGTGCACAATTACCCACGTGACTATAAATTTAAAAATAAACCAAATATAAGCAACAATGGTTCCATCGTTTCATCTGTATTTGTTACTTTTATTCCCAAATTTCCTTTTTTGCCTTTGGACATGTTTAGCTCTCAGTAACAAGCTTTTTTTTTATATTATTTAGCTTAACACACGTATATTATTGTGACAGCAGGAACCTATGTTTCTTATCACATTTTTTTTGCAATTTCTTTCCGTGAATATATAAAAATGTCTTATTAAGTCTTTTTCCAGTCTTTTGCTTAGTAACACATTTGGTGATTCATTATAATGTAGATAAATTATCTGTGAGATAATGTCATGTAAATAATGATTTGTTTTAAGTTATTTACTAACACAACGATAGTTATCATATTAACAATAATTATTTCAATATGTTGTTAAATTTGTAAAACAAATTAAATTATAAGAAATTTTCAGGACACAATGCAAACTTTTGAAATTTTAATAAAAAAATAGACCGACTTTTTTTAATGTCGTAGATTTGAAGAAATTCTCGTAACTTGTAATTGAATACTGAAATGGTTTTTTTTCACAGACAACCTATAAAATGGCAGACCAAATTCAAGGCCCTCTAGAACCAGGGAAGGTTATAAAACCTATAATAGATCATGAAGGAGTCAAACTTTTAGTGGAAAGATTGTATGGCATATCTGTATTAGAACTGGTTGAACTCAATGGATATGACGATAAGAACTATAAGATTGTCGAAGATCCTAACGTGAAAAATCCTCTGATAACTAACCATTGCCCTAATGGATATGTGTTGAAGATCATGAACTCGATGGACTCGCAAAACGTCAGTGTTGTGGAGGCACAGAATGAGATCATGAACTTCTTGAGTAAGTAATATGTTCTGGGACAAATAAAATATATGCTGTTGTATGAAAACTTATCTCCATTTGCCGGCATTTGATGATTTTTCATGTTCATTGTATTAAAGTAGAATCTTGAACTTAACAAATATAATTTGCTTTGAAATCTCAACATATATCAAGTTTTAAATTCAATATAATTACAATTCGTAAGATTTGGATAACCGCATTTACTAATAATGTGAAATAATAATAATAAAGGTAATAATAATAATATTTTATTTATTTCTCCGCATGTTAGACAGTTACAATTGTCATTTTATTCTTATTCTATTCAAGGACGGAGACTGGTGACCGATACTAGGATAATCCTGTTCTACAGAACACCAGGCCTCCAGGAATAGGTCTCTTAACAGCTTATATACTTAAATGTGTTCTCGTTCTCACTAGATGCCAGATCTGTAACATGTCCGAAGCCAATACGCAATGTCTACGGACATCTTCATTCAGTTGAAAACATTGGAGGCAAACAACACGCCGTCCGCTTACTGGAATATGTGCCTGGAGAACTGTTCAAGAATGTGCCTATGAGCGAGCCTTTACTGTACCAGCTGGGGGAATTTGTCGCTAACTTGGATAACAAACTGCAGGTATTTATTATCCTCCCTGTGTTTTGCTTTACAGGAAGCCCTGTGCTGTGCTAATGATGGCGATTTATCATATTTTAAAGTTATAAAATTGCAAGAGACTACCAATAGTAGTGAGTATTTAACGTCTGAGAAACATATAATATTTCTGATATTCAAATATTTTTCGCTTTTTGGCTGATTCATGTTGTTTAGGAGTAATGGCATGAGTCTAATGACCGGAAATTGTGAACTAAAGTATAAGCAGATAAAATTGAAGGCAGGACTTTAGTAGTCCTTTTTGATGTTTGTTGCCAAGTCGCGAGCACAGCTAATATATTATATTAGAAATCAACTCATTTCATACCTAATTAAGATCATTATATACCTACCTTACATCTTTGAATATCGGTAATTGTGTTAAAACTATTAGTATACATTACAGTATTGAACGTAGTCGTAATCTGCAGTAACTTATTGCTAGAAACACACAACAATCATATCGCATCCAAGGTCCAACACTTCGACCGTAACATTGCAGTAATTTTCATTCATTTGAATTAACCATGTTTCATTCCTGCATCTGTATTATGTATGTTAATATCGAGAATGTCAGAAAAATAAAAATTATAAGTCACTCTACATAGGTATGTTTTCTTTTTACATAAATAATTACATGACACGAATGAATCCCGATGCCCCATTTCTAATTTATCTGGATGTAACTCTTAGGTCTCAGTTATATCTTTAAGACTGTTTTATCATCCTTTGGAAGTTGGTTGCTTTAAATTTGCCTTTTGTAGATCAATCAAAGAGCAATTCAATATTCCATTGGATCTACCTACGTTTAATCTATACAGACACTTGCTAAATATACCTTTAAATAACTAAGTTACGTAACACGTGTAAAAAAAACTGTGTAGCCTGACTCTATATCTGGGTTCTCAGAGGGAGTGTTATCTTAATGTTGTTTATGGCATTTTAAGAATTCATTGAAGCATTTATATCAAATCATACAAAGCCTAATTAAATAAAATAAGTAATGGTAGTGTAATCCCTGATGAATATCTCACCGTGCCTTGATTTTCAGAACTTCAACCACTCTGGTCTAGTATCTCGCGAACACATATGGATGCTGACCACCGTCCCGCACTTGGAGAAATTCAAGTACGTCATCAAGGACGCTGAGAAACTGGATCTGGCTGAGGAGGTAACCATAGTTATTTTTATGGAAAATGCAGGCAAATAATGCCGTTCTTTTTGACCTTATATTGTTTGCTCTTTTTGGTCGTGATTGGGGAAAAACCGTAACTAGATAATAGAATAATAATAAAAGTTGAGGAGTACTTTTGTGTGCATTGCTAAAATATACGATGAATCTAAAGTACATTTACAATCGCAAAAGGTTTATTATCTACGTTGAAATTGGCTGGGATTCGAAGAAAGGACTACGGAAATGTTGGCATCATCATTGACCCGGTGTGACCGATACACAAATACTAAAATTTGTCGAGATCAAATCTAACGGCTAAATTGTAAAGATGTGCAAAATAAAACCTTACATAAGTTACCATTTCAAGAAGAAGACACTGTTTTAATTATTTACGTTAGCTATGGAAATGGGAGTAACAAAACAAATTACAATGTTCAGAAATAATGAGTTTTTCTTTGAGAAAATAATTACTTAATTATCGTAAGCCTACTGCTTATATTTAAAACTTGAAACAAATTTGAAACGATTTAATAAAAAAACACGTCTACATCCACAATATTAGATGTTTGCACCTTTAAGGGATCTAGAATAATGTTCATATTAGATCAATTGATAAGGCATAAGAAAACTGGAGTACTATTGAACGCTAAATAACGATACTCATTGTAAGAATTGGTATTAGTCCCATATTGATGTTTTCGAGAAAATATCTTATTATATCTGAGATGACGATAATGATGAACTTTTCTGCTGCCATAAAATTTCTTTTTAAAGTTTTCTTAAACGACTATAAAAAATTGATATAATCGCTCAGCGACTAAGGCCTTTAAATAAAGATTATACTAAAAAGAGTATAAAAGACAACCCTATTTTAAAATTTTATCCGTTCAGGTTCTAGAAGAATTCAAGTACGCCGTGGTTCCCCGCCTTGATGAGCTAGAACGAGGCGTCATTCATGGAGATGTCAACGAGATGAATGTGCTCGTTAGCTTGAAACCTGGAGGCAGGTAGGTGCTATGCTAATTTATCGCTAAGGTTGTTTTTCTAACAAAGTTTAGATACTCAAATAAAGCGTATTGGCTGAGATGTCTGCATTTGAAGTGATGGTCACTGTCAGTTTGCAAGGGAAAATGATGTATGATGGTGTACCATATTTTTAGTCAACTATACATGTACATAATGGAAAGAACCTTTATAGACAGTACCATACACAGCACACATACTAACGTTTCAACTTTTAATGTACACTATTAAAGATACTGTTTTATTGATAAAAGTAATGTTTTCTGATGAAGATAATATTGAGTTTTAGTTGCATATGATATTTTGAATTCGATTAGGAAGCTAAGCACGAGCGTTTTGAAGACTTGCGCCAGGATCTTAAATGGGATTCTTCTGAGGTGAGGTAAGGGTTAGAGGTGGATTATCGTACCTGTTAATGGAGACTTATCAATAGACGAACTTTTTATAATATTTCTAAATAATATCTATCAATTAAATATCACGATTGAACTAAACTTTTTAAATTACTCAATGAATTTGCTACTTACAAATTAGATACGTTTCTATGTTATAAAATGGATTTGGTTGATCAATATTGTCTGATGCTTTGGTAAAATATCACAATATCATATTTAGAAGAAGAACTATGCGTGACGAAACTGAATTAACAGGTTTCATTGGTATACTTTTTTTTCTAAAGAAAGCAATTTGCTGCATCATAAAGTCTCGTCTTTTGATAATACAGTCTATGCCTTTAACCCCGGCTTCATACTCAGACAACATATAAGGTTTTGAGCGATGTATTTAATTATTTATGTATTCTAGTTAAAAATTCATCTATTTCAGACTTAAAGACTAACTAAACTCTCCTTTTAAAGGTCTGTTTAACACTATTTGATTCTTGAATATCTTAGTAACATTTTTAACTCCTTTTCTTTTCTACTTGATCTATCATCAGTAAATGTTTCATTAAAAATGTAAAAACAGTGTACGAAAATGCATTAGGTAACCTAAATTCTAGTTTGAAGTTTGAGATCTGTGAATTCATCAGTGATTTTTTTCCGTCATTTTAGTAAAACCGACTATCGTATCTCGGGCATCCTCGATTTTGGCGACATTCAATACTCCTACTACGTATTCGAGTTGGCCATCACGATGACGTACGTGATGCTGTTGACGGGTGACATCCGATCGGCGGGTGTGGTGCTAGCGGGGTATACTGTCACACGCCGCTTGCCCGACCATGAGTACGCCCTGCTCAAGGTTAGCTCTACAACTTGGAAATAGTCTTGCACTTATAATATTCCTATATGGTCCTACGAACACTTCTTATAGACTATATAATAGAGGTCAGATTAACATAAACTTCCTTCGAACTTACACTTTTGGAGTTGTTTCTACTCAAACCTCTCTCGGCCAATATATTTGACACTTACAGCGTTGACAAACATCCAGTAATTAGTAACTTACATTATTCCATGTTTTACTTTTACCAAGAACAGCACAACGCTGTCGCACTATATAGGTTCAATCAACGCTTTATTAAAGCTTTATTACACACTGACACTGATTTAATTCGATTAAACTTCTGTCCTCTAAGTTGTGATAGCGTTTTGTTTCAGTTAGACGCTAAATAGCAAAGCAGTTTATTCTAAAACGAAAACTAACTTAAAGGTTTAAATCATTATCCGATCAAAATGAATCAACATCTGACGTTTGTTCTTGTATCAGTTTGTCTTAGGCGGCAAATGGATGAATAAGGCCGAGTGCTACTAACTTTAGTCTTCGTCGTGTAATAAGACGGATTGATTTTTTATCTAGCTGTTCCTATTACCAATTTTTTATCGTGGAAGATGCATTTTGACCGTGGCACTCTGAGATGTAAAGTGGATTTTAGGGAGAATTTTTCAGCAAAGCATCATGAATTGATCAAAATATAAGGATAGATTTCATTTTTCTTACTATTCCAATTACACAAGCATGAGTGATGTCCATTAGAAGTTATTAAGATCTAATGTTTAAAATCAGTGTGTTCAAAGGTTCATATAAATTTTCAGACTTTAATATCAGCCCGCCTAGTCCAGAGTTTGATCTTGGGTGCGTATACTCTGGAACAGGACCCGAACAACACGTATGTTACCTCTACGGAGAAGGCCAAGGGCTGGGAGTTGTTGAAGAAGCTAAGGAAGACCAGACCTAGCGGTGACGAGCTAGACCTTACAGACTGGAAGGCGATCGCCAACGAATACTTAACCAGGAGTTAAGAAACCTTTTGCACACAAAGGATGATAATGATAGTTATTTTACGGGATTTCTTGTTACCTTCATGTATGGCATGAACTTAAGTTCTTCTTTAATCAATAATTCAAAGTTTCAATCATGAGAGTTGGTAAACATTTTTAGAAAAGATCAATCCCGACATTAGTGGTTCAAATACGTGATCATTTATAATATACATTTTATTTATAACAAACAAACAACATAGACAGCCAATGCATTTTATTACTTAAAAATACCTATACGTACTAATTATTTTTGTTTTCTCTTATTTATCCTTAACAACACAAAGTGAATTCTACTTTATTAAATATAAAATACTGACCATTACAAATCAAATAAATATAGAAATAAGCCAAATAAATTATGTTTGAATAGTATTATCACCCCGAGTAACATTATGTTCTATAACTAAAGCGTTTAATTTTCATATAGTGACAAGAAATATCTATAATAGCAACCATTGTGACTGCGTGTACTAAAACAGTTATCAACAAAGCCATTTAATTTGATAACATGAAAAAGCATTTCAGTTCAGTAATTTAGCTCTTAGAACATTTTTAGGACTCTTAAAGTGTTGCACTGTATAGCCTTTAAAATTAATTCATATTCTTGGAAACCGTTATAGTACATGCAGTCATAATAATTAATATTATAGACAAGTATGTATCACTAGATAACACTATCATTATATTATGTCAATTTATGAAACACTATCTCTATATTACGGAAACTAAACGCCTTAGTTATAGAACATAATGTTACTTTGGTTATCATTATAGTCTTTAAGTAATATCTAAGTACCTACTTTATTTAGTCTCGAAAGTCAATTATGCAGTTAATTATTTACAAGTATTAAATAGGACTGAATAAATTATGAACAAAAAATGCGTTTTATTCTTCGATTTAATTGTATGTTTTCATACCCACATTTAAAAATATAGCTCAGCCGTATCCTGGATACGTATATCAAATTCTTCGCTAAAGACAAATTTCATCGCTTAAAATACATATTATTTTGATGCGGACAAGACCAAGTATAAGATAAGGTGAAAGAAATAAATAGTGTATACATTTATAATAACAACTAGCTTTTGCTCGTGACTTCGCCCTTTTAAGTCCAGAAATGAGAAAGTTGAATAAAGTAAAATCCCGTCTTAGTGAGCACCTACGTTCTAAAAAGAACCCGTATCCAAAATTTGAAACTCCTAGCAATTGTAGGAGTAACTTAAAGTTTCTTAAAGTTAACTTAAATCAGTTAGTTTATAGCTTTTACGCGTTTAAACTTTACATAGATATTTTTTTTTAAAATCGATGCAATCGTTTTGGATTATATTCAATGCAAACAAACAAAACTTACCTCTTTATAATATTAGTTTACGTAGCGCCATCTAACGGGCCTAATAAAAAATAAATTGCTTGATATTAGCTCTGTGAAGCACATGGTAGATTGTAGTTTTAATAATTTCTTCAAAGTCCAATAGCTGCCACTAGTAGTACCAAAAACTGCTTTGATAGGATTTTTTGTAGCGAATTAGCGAATGAGCAAGATCTTTAGTTGTAAAGCTCTATATTTCGGAATGTTGAGGTACCAAGGTGTATGTATACCATATTGTATGGAATTATATCACTCTGTACCCAGTGTGGCGGTCAGACGCTGGAATCGCACGCTTTGAAGTGGGTACTTAAACATATATGAGCTTCAAATTGAAAAGAAATGTAAGAATAAAAAAAAAATGTTTAAACATTATGCCTGTACAGTTATTTTATTATAATAAACAAAAATTAATGTCATATGACAAGTAAGCTCTATATTTACTTTCTACATTTCAAATTGTATATCAAACCACCTTTGATACAAAAAAATATCTTAGTGATAGAAAAAAAAATTAACAACATCCACGACAGATATCGGCTTATCAACTTTACAATATAACCTGTATCTAATAAAAAAGTAACATCAAACGTTTACGGTCAGACGTCGGATGGTATTAAAGGTGATGATTAGGGCTACTAATAACAGCTTTTCGAAAACATACAGAAGCTATAAATAACATATAGTTTAAAAAATATTGAAAAAAAGATAAGTGAATTTTATAAAAAGGTAATATTTTCAATTCCATAAAATAGTAAAAACATATGTTTATCTATTATAATTGTCTACTATGAGTCCATGTCGTGGCCATATCGTAGAATTGGTAGTTTCATGATCCGACTGGCCATTTCGTGAAAAGGTCACGTAAAATTGATTATATCGTTTGAGCATTAACGTTTAATAAATGTTCAAAAAATAAATCTAATTATTTGCTGGAATAGCTTGTTTATTCGGAGGCGCTATGATTTTTATGTTTTTTTGGGCTGAAAAAAAGTTTAATAGATCTGTCAAAAACTTTTATAAACTCTAATATGTTTTTATCATTCTCTGGAGCGAGATCAAAATCCAGCCTTTATCATAATCTTACGAGATATCTTTAAAACTATAGAATAGTCTTTGCTGCCGCACCTTCGCACTGCACTCCTACAATTATCACACTAAACTGATGAAGTAAAAAATTGGCTACATCATGAAGTAGTCATACGGTCATCCACACGACCACGGTACCGTTTGTTAATTTATTATTGTTGCTTGCCTTGGAAACCCTTTATTGGCCATCTGTAATTTAATCCACAGCTTACATATAAGTATAATGTGCTTTCGGTAGCCCCTAATATATATAAAATAAAACAAGTGGATATGCTGCCGTATCATGCTCTTTTTTTTTTTTTTATATTTCTTTCTTCATTAGGTAACTGCTTAATAAAGAAGAAAAATCTCACTTATTCGGATAAACTTTTATGTATCGCATTCTTTTAAATTGTTTACGTTTTTTAGGTTGTTTGCCATGGATGGGTAAGCTTTAAGTAAGTATATGCTATTTATATAACGAAAAAGGCTGAGTTTTTATGCTAACTATATTACACGAGGGAATTTTTTAAATATTTAATAACCGTTTAATTGGTTTTTATCAATAATAAATTTCTCCTTGACTTATTTCTTAAACTTACTTCATCTATATATATATTGTTTTTTTCTTATCCGCGATAAATAATAAAGTATTTCGGTAGGCAACCCTAACCATGATCTAAAAAGCTTTTTGTAAGTCCTTTGTAGCTTCGTGAAATAACATCGCAGCTTCACTTTTTGCTGTAATATTTATCAGTTACGATATAAAATAACGTTAGTTTTAATTAAAACTTCCTTTAAAGGCTAAGAATTATTTTTTTTTACCCAACAAGCGTAGCGTAAAAATATAAGCTTCTTGTTGCAAATAAAATATTAGGTTATACCCGTTCTGCCTAATTTGTTATTTATAGGGCAGACCTGTATTCAGCAGTGGGGGCTCACTCTTAATCGGTATTTGACTTTCTACATAACCAAAAAGATTTCTTACACAAGGCGTAATCTTGACGTTCATTAATAGTAAAACATTTATTTGTTTTAGTAAAAAATTAATATAAGGATTTTTATCTAAACAATTCGAATGAATGATATATGAACTATCATCACCTCCGAGTCAGTATCATAAATCGAGATACAATCGATTCAGAATCGACTCATTAATCAATCGTTATCGATACAGTGTTGTATCGATTTTATCGGTGGCTACGCAATCACATTCGGGAGCTTGAATAATGTTGATTTGTTTTATAATTATCAATAATTGTCTTTTTTAAAATGCAGCGATCAAAATATCTCGAGGTCATCCGTCTAATTCAAAGTCCTAGCCAAAGCTGTAGCTATAGAACGTTATTTTTTTTACTCTCATTTGGTTGGTTTTCAATAAACACAACCACAAAATAGGGGACCGTTTTGATGAGTCATTGTTTACTTGAATGGGTCTATTAATCAAGGGGTAATAATAAATTATCACCAGAACTACAACCTGATAATGAATAACCTGAAAAATAATAAAGTTCAGAACTCGTTTGTGACAAAACAATATTTTTTTTATTATCAAAATTCAAAACAGACTTCGAAAAAAATTCTCAACCTCAAATGGCGAAATAAACCCAAGATACATCATAAGTGCGGTCAAAAGCATAGCCAGTCAACTTTTTCTAATTTATAAATAATAATCAAAAAAGTACTTTGAATTACGTAACTTTAGAAAACAAGCGTATCGACACTAAAACCTGACCAAAATAAAAAAGTTATTTTAAGTGTGTGGAGTATAATAAATGGTATTGCAACTGGTAGCTTCTACTAACAGTAAAATCATATCTGTGTATTAGTAACTACCACATCACTAGTAATAATGTTACTTTAATTCAAAAATATAAAACCCCATACAACTATAGGAACTAATCAAAAAATTATATCACTGAAATGGAGTATTCCCCAAACCTTACCTTTGTTTATGCTATTGGTATTGATAACCAAATTTGGTAAGCATTCATTGATCATTCCATGATGTATATGGTAACCAATATTATAAAAAGTGTATGTAAATAAGTATTTTAATGACTTTTACAGTCATCAATAACAATTATTTGTTAAAACTCAAATCGGACGATAGTTTGATTACTCATAAGCTATGAGTTGATTGTTCTAATTCAAATATAAGTAACGCCATACTTGGAGCTTATACAGGTACCATTTGGATGTAGAAACCCTAGTAACTGTGTAATTTGGGTCCATCATTAAGCTAACGAAGGATTAGGTCATCTTAAATTTGCTAATAGAGTACCAAGTTGGCAACGAGATTATTTTTTTTTCTTTTTGGCAGAAAATCATTTATAAGAATAAGCACTAACTTATTTGTTTTATAGCCAAACCAGTGTCGAAAAATATGACTATATACATCTGTAAATAATGATTGATTTACTGATATAATTGATCTATTAACGCACAGCCATAACTACTGAACGGACCGACCTTAAATTTGGCTCACTTATTGTTATTATGGCATAGATAGGTTGGGTAAGAAAAGATTCAGAAAAATTGAACTCAGTCTGAAAATAGTTTTATCCACGGGCGAAACCGCAGAAGCAAAACCACCAATTATATATACTCGTAATAATACACGTTGCCATTTCTCGTCCTCGATCATTTCTACACAACCACTGGACAAACCAGTTAAGGAAGCAAAAAAAAA